CATCCATGCCATGGAGGCTGCTCCTTGTCACTTTGCCCATTTGGTCGTGGGCTACGCTCTTTGCCTAGAGACTTGCTGCTGGCTACCTGCGAAGCCATCTTTTCTCAAGGTTAATTTTGCGTGCCGATCTTGAAAAAAAAGAACTAAAACAAAGAAAAGGGGGAAAACGATAAATGACGAGGAAGAAGGACGATCAGGAATTTCAGGTGTCTCAAAAATCCCTTGACTCAAATCTTACGAAAAAACACAAAAAAGAGGATATAATAAGAGCAATGGATGACAGAAAGCAAATGGACATTAAAAATTTCAGGAATCTCAAAAAAATGCCTTGACTCAATCTTACGAAAGTTACAAGTGACAAATAAATGGGGGAAAAAGAGATAAATGACAACATGACGTAAAGTTCCATTAGAAATTTCAAGAGTCTCAAAAGAAATGCCTTGACGAAAACCTCGCGAAATTCATTGTCCCATTGAATTGTATCTCTGATCATTTTAGCTCATAACTTCAAGCTAGACTATACTTAATCGAAATTTCCCAGTTTAATTTTAAATCGAGGTAAAATATGATGTATTTGTCTGAATTGCTGTTGGCTTTCAATGTTGCATGTCTGTCTTGAAAAAGAAGAACGAAAACGAAAAGAGGTACAAAACAATAAATGACAAGGAAAAAGGCCAATTAAAAAATTTCAAATCGCCATTAAAATTTGCATGAGTCTCAAAAAATGCCTTTGCGAAAACCTCCCTAAATTCGTTTTCCAATTGGTTTAATATTACTGAGAAGTTTAGCTCATAACTTCAAGCTAGACAACTTATTCGAAATTTCCCAGTTTATTTTCAAATCGAGTTACAATATTTATTTGAATGTACAGTATTTCTTTTTGCTTCTAATGTTGCATGTCAATATCTTGAAAAAAGGCGGAATGATAGATAAGGCGATAAATTATTTAAAAAAAAGACTAATTAGGACTTACACGGGGAGTCTGAAAAATTCCTTGACTCAATTGAAGAAAAAATACGAAACAAGAAAAAGATAAAGGCGATAATGACGAGACAAAACGCTAATTGGAAATTTCATGAGTCTTAAAAAGTTCTTTGACTAAAACCTCTACGAATCCGGCCCTTGCCCGAATGGATTCCATGATTGATAATTTTAGCTCTTACATGTAAAACTTATAAAAAATAAACAAATTATGAGAAAGAAGTCCTCAAGATTCCCGGATTTCAATTTTAAATCGAGATACAATACATTATTTATCTGAGATTTTTGTTTCTTCTGTAAGAGCGTATATGATTTCATCCTCTTAATAAAATCTGGAAATTTCTTCATTTAAAGAATCGATTTCTTCATTTAAAGAATCGATTTCTTCATTTAAAGAATCGATTTCTTCATTTAAAGAATCGATTTCTTCATTTAAAGAATCGATTTCTACACTTTTTAGCATCTCGTGCAACATTCCTTGGCACTGATCAGTAGGAAAACCAACTTCAGCGTCGAGGAACTGGTGCACGTGGATCATTACATCACAGCGATTCTGCAGTTGGTGAGCACTAAAGGAACACTTCAGGAGGCCAACGATTTGTCCATGACTTACTACCCTGTAAATGCTGGGCTTCCTTTGGACAACAGCTACGTTTCAGTGAGTGACATTGTCAAATTTTCATTTCTTCAATCTCTATTGTTGGTAAACCGCACGCGCATGCCAAATAATATTAGAAGTAAAATATTAAAAACTACGAAAAACCGAGCAACACAATAGAACAACTTCTCAAATATAACCACTTTTCAAGGAAAACGCCACCAGCACCAAAAAAAAACAATTAAAACCGGATTCAATTTCCGCTGCTCCCGAGTTTTACCAAAGAACGAATTCATTTGCAATCAAACTTTGGGACTGTGAAGTGCTTACAGAATTATTGTATATTCAAGAGTTCTGCTGAGTTGTTGAAGTGTCGTTAAAACTTGGTGCTGAAAATACTTTATTGTGGGACAAAATTTGAAATACATTCACCCAATTTAAAATAGGAAGTCCACCAGGATTCCCGGCATAGTCCCAGGCTGATTCTGCCTTTTATTTCCAAATTTTGAACAATTTTGAACTATACTTTAATTTCCAATTTCCTGATCCACAACTAAGCAATTATTACTAATTTATGTCAAGGTAAGTTATTCTTTAACATCTATGGACTGCTGTGCATAGAAATGAAAGCGGTATGACATTGACTTCAAGTGTGATAGTGTACTTATTCAGCCCAAAATAAGGCCAGACATTTGAAACTGGACAGTAGAAATAATAGTTTTTGCGCGGGTTTCTATGTATTCATTTTCTGATGGTTTATTTTTTCTTTAAGTTGTTTCGATTGCTGGCTGTGGTTCCATTTACCAGAAGTTTGGATATTCAAGGTCTGAAGCTGGGGATGGGATTGCTGAAAGCTAATGTTCAGGCTATACCTTCTTTTGATCCGTTGAGAATCGACTACATTCTCATGTGCATGTTGACTCTGCTTGATATCGGTGAATCAGGAATATTCTTTCTCTTTTTTTTCATCTTTTTTAGGGTAAGAATTATCGTAATTTTTATTGATCCAGTAAAATATCCCTTTACAACGAAGCTATTATGGGACCATCGATCAAGTGAGCTTTGTTATAACGAAACATTCGTTATACTGTACAGTAACTCATTTAATATTGTGGCTGTTTATATTAGGTATATAGGGAACGACTTCGTTTTAAGGGATTATTCTTTAAAACGAGATCTCATTGTAATACATTTTGTAAAATCAACGTGGAGTTTTCGTTAAGTTATGAATTTTAGCCCGTGATAGATGAAAAACGTACCTCAACAATTTATTTTAATATTAGCTAACCGCGCCTAAAAGAAGGGACCATTTTTATTCAAAAAGGTGCTGAATTGGAAATTTCTTCATACAGCAGCAGTTCAATTCCGAAAATTCACGGTATTCTTTATTCTCACCTATTTCAACCACAAAAATCTATCAACTTCAATATTCTTGAAAAACTAGATAAAACAGATTTTCTTTTCAAAATGTTTTACTCACTTGCAAAATATATGGA